CGTAAATTATTACATATTACCTTTTTCAAGAAATTGATAATAAAATTGACCATAAAGTAATTTTTTAAATATATAAGCTCAAAAGGCAATAATATAATTTTTTTAAGGGAAAATGACACTTTTTACCCCTGAGTTATATACTTATAGCACTTTTTCCCCCTCAATTATTTAGGTAAGCACATTAGCCCCCTCAATTATTCTAAAAGTGGTGACTTTTCCCCCTAATATATTAAATTGACATTTATACCCTTAAAGTAAACATTTTATTTATTTTATTACTCCAACAAATTATTGCGTATACGTAGGGAGGACCACGGTTCGGTTTGAATTGAACCGAATACTAAAGCAATCGAATTAATAGTTTACGGTTATAATTCAGATCTAGAACCCAATATTTAAATATCAATTTATTAAAATTATGTATCAAAAAAATTGAATTTTGAACCGTGAACCGGCGGTTCCGGATCTGATTCGCGATTTTGAACCGTCTTTATTTTAAAATTTTATTTTTTATTTTAAAATAGTCTAAATTCAACAATAAATGTATTTTATTTTTTCAGTTCGGAACATGAACCATCCGTTCCGGTTCACGATTTTAATAAACTCTTAAATATCGAATTTTGATTCTAAATTGTAATTGGAATATTTCGATTTGGTTGCTATGGTGTTTGTTTAGTTTGAACCAAATTATGGTCATAATTTGTTGGAAAAAAAAAATAAATTTAATATTTAGTTTAAGGGTAAATATGTCCATTTAACATTTCAGGGGGAAAAACAGCCACTTCAATAATTTAGGGGGAAAAAATGCTATAGGTATATAACTCAGGGGGAAAAAGTGCCATTAAAGTTTAAATTTAAAACTTACTTATAAAACTTTCCACGGTTATAATTTTCATATATTGATTGTAACATATATCCGTTAGTTCAAAACAATCAAAATTATATTCTAAATAAAGAGTAGAATTAATTTTACTTCACTTATGGTATAAAGGGATAATTAAATAGATTTCTTATGATTAGTACTAAAAAAAAATAGATTTCTTATTAACTATGGAGTCTAATTTCAACTCTTAATTTGGAAATTTTGATTGCTTTAGAATAACGGACAACAGTTTCATCAAATACCCAAACATCACAAAATGAGTACTTGAAAGTCAAACAACGAATTTGATAATAAATAATGAGTTAATATCCAAAATGGTCCCTCGACTATGCCATAATTACCAATTTGGTCCTCAACTACCATTCTTATCCAATTAAGTCTTCAACTATGTAACTTTTACTCAATTAAGTCCTCAACTATACAATTCTTACCCAATTTAGTCCTCAACTATACAATTCTTACCCAATTTAGTCCTCTGTATTAATTTGACTGTTTGTTGACTGTCAAAAGTCGCGATAAAATTATAATTTTACAAGATTTCTCCTTCCTCTCCATTTAGCAGCGCCAAACCATGCAGCAATACACTCCGATCGGATTTCGATCGTCAAAAAATCGTTGGAAATCAAATTCATGGGCTATCCGATGCATAACCACTACTTCGATACTGACAGGTTTAGAACCCAACCGGAGCTTATTGCTACATGGTTTGCGCTGCTAAATGAGGAGGAAGGAGAAAACTTCTAAAATTTCAACTTTATTTTCACTTTTGACAGTCAACAAACAGTCAAATTGACAAAAGACTAAATTGGGTAAAAATTGTATAGTTGAGGACTTAATTGGGTAAGAATGATAGTTGAGGACCAAATTGGTAATTACGACATAGTCGAGGGACTATTTTGGGTATTAACTCATAAATAATTGAATCTATCAAATTTTCAATAGTTAAGAAGTAAATATAGTCCATTATGTAAACCATTGATTAAGAATAACTAATACCAACACTTATGCCAATGACTTTGTGGTATAGTAGCTGAATGAGAGGTCAGAGTCAATAGTATTAAAAAAAAAAAAATACGAAGGCTTATGAGAATTTCTAAATAATGACTATCGCATGACATTTGCAGCGGAAGAGATAAAAAGAATTGATTTTCTGCTTCAATCCTATTTTACATGCGCATGACTTTCGCATGTCCACTAGGCGTATTAGGCTATTGCCAATTGACGACCACCTTGCTTCTCTTTTTTCGTTTTCCTTTTCTATTTTTCTCACTTGATCCAACAAAATAAATAAATACAACCAACCAATTGACTTACTAAACCTCAAAGAATACAAGATAGTGAAGACAATTCATTGCAGGTGGTTCAAGCCTCACGGTATCGGCAAGACGGCAAAGCTAAGGGGGACTCCTCTTTTCATTTAGTTATTTGGGATATCAAAAAATTTGTCAAATGCTAAGGGAGCGTTTACTAACTGAAAATTTTTAAAAATTTCTAGAAATTGGAAAATAGAAAACAGAAAACATGTTTACTAACACAGTTTTTCATTTTGAAAACTGAAAATAATTTATGATAATTTCTGAAAAACTGAAACACACTTAAAAACAGAATCATCTATCTTTTATTTAGCTATATGTCACTATAACCACATTACTATGATTAAATTCATTATCATCTTATTTTATTTATCACTATCTTCTATCTTTTCTACTTTTTTTTTTTTTTTTTTTGAAAATTTTCTGCGGTGCTTCATTAGAAAAATGCTGAAATAATGTCTGGTGGGTGAGTATCCCAGTACATAGTATCAGGTTGCTGATAAGCCGTAGTGGCTAAAGCATGAGCTAAATAATTGTCCGATCTAGAAATATAATTAAAAGAACATGAGTGAAAATAAACGGCAATTTGCCTGCAGCTATCAATGGCATAGCCAACGTAAGAGCGAAACGCAGTGGTTGATGATTTAAGGTAGCGTTGTAGTGTCAAACAATCCGTGTAGATCTCAATATTCTGTTCACCTCGATCCTTTAGCCATGATAAAACTTCCTTACACGCCAAAGCCTCAGCCATAAGTGGTGACGTACAGGCCGGTAGCGGCGCGGTTAGTGCCGAGATATAGGCTCCATCTCCATCTAATAAAACGGCCCCTACAGTTGCATTCCCTGTCTCGTGTAGATATCCCGCATCGACCCTGCATCTTCTCACTGGCGGCACAGAGGATCCGGCGGCGTCGGCAGCACCGCGGCCGGCGGTGGGACTCGCCTGGGCAGCGTGGCGGTTTTCTGTCGGCAGAGTAGCAGTGGCAGTGGCAGCCACGGCTGGGCGGGACTGAGTCCATGCGGTCTTGGCTGCCGCTGCGGCTCTGAGTAGGGACCCCGGGCGTGGTAAAAACGCCTCCCAAACTGCACCATTTCGAGCTTTCCAAATATTGTATAGAATTGATGCTGCATATAACATTCCATCAGAATCTAAAATATTTAGAAGTTCCCCAAACCAAACATGAAAAATATCCGTGACAATATTGGGGATTGTAAGGTTGGATTGATCCCAAATGTTTCTTGCAAAATCACACAAGACTAATGCATGCATTGTATTCTCATGTGATATCCCACACATAGCACAATATGGGTTCACCTCCACCCTCTTTAAAAGCAAGTTCGTAGTTGTAGGCAAAATATCACAAATAGCTCTCCAGAGGAACATTTTCCACTTTGGTGGAATTTTTAGTCTCCATAAAGCTAACCAATTAGTAAAGGGGCCTTGATTATTCTCATAATCTCCCACCAATCGTCTGTACCCGCTTTTCACAGAATATAATCCTCTCGGGTCCCCGTACCAATACCATGCATCATTATAATCCCGGGATACAGGTACTCTCATAATTCTCTCGACATCCGTAGGTTGAAATAAATCTGATAAAATTTCATTATCCCATGTACCAGTTTGTTGATCTATTAGCCCCACTACTCTGGCCTCTCGTAACTGTATAGGCATCTCTGTTTGTATCATAGGGTCCTGGTCATCCAGTAACCATGGATGGGTCCATATAGATGTAGTTTCCCCATTCCCAATTCTTCGTCTGACCCCACTACAAATTATGCTCTTTGATCCCATTATACTCCGCCAACAAAAACTGGGATTATTTCCTACCTGCGCATCAAAGAAAGTATCCCTGGGAAAATATCGGCTTTTGTAAACACGAGCTACTAAGGAATCAGGCTTAGTGAGCATTCGCCATGCCTGTTTCCCCAACATAGCTAGATTAAATGCACGTAGGTCCTTAAAACCCAATCCACCATACTTCTTAGGAACACATAGCTTGTCCCAAGCCTTCCAGTGAACTCGGTTGTCCGTCCCAGAACCCCACCAATATCTATTCATCGTTCTTTCTATAGCCGTGCATACTGATATAGGTAGCAAAAAAACACTCATTGAGAAGGTAGGCATAGATTGTGCCACACTTTTCAACAGTATTTCTTTCCCTGCCTGAGACAATAGCCTTTTATTCCACGACCCAATTCTTTGGCGTATTTTATCCTCAATATATGCAAAAGCTGCCTTTTTATTCCTACCCACAAACGAAGGTAGACCCAAATACTTGCCAAAGTTTGGTGCCTGCTCCACCCCCAAAACTTGGGCCACACTTTCCCTATCCACATTACTCGTATTCCTGCTATAACAAATACTCGACTTGTGGTAGTTAACCACCTGTCCTGATAGATCCTCATATACAGTCAGACATTTCTTTATCTCATTAGCCTCTTCCACATTAGCCTTAAAGAATAAAAGGCTATCGTCCGCAAAAAACAAATGAGAAATCTGAGGGGCACCTCTTGCTACCCTACATCCATGAATTAATCCCGCTCTGTTAGCCTGTTGTAGTAACAACGAGAGTCCCTCTGCACAGATAATAAACAAATATGGGGATAGCGGGTCTCCCTGTCTCAAACCACGCGTGGGTATTATTGGGTCACTCCTTGAGCCATTTATCAGAATACTATAGGAGACTGTGGTCACACATTTCATAATCAAATCAACCCATCTATCATGGAAACCCAATGCCATCATCATATTACGGAGAGAAGGCCACTCCATTCGATCATACGCCTTAGCCATATCCAGCTTAAGTGCACCCCAGCCCCTCAATCCACACTGTTTTCGATTCAGAAAGTGCCCCACTTCTGCATCCTCTCAAACGTTGTTGATCCCGTTTCAGCTGCACAATCTGTTTCCCATACTTATGGAACCGATCCCCACCCCATCGTGTTAACCGGTTTCCACAGTATTGAACACAACCCTGTAAACCCTGCCCTCTCCCTTCCTGCCACGCCTGCTCTACCACACCCCTACATCCCTCATCATATAACCATGTCATCTCAAACCTAAAACCCCTTCTTCTAACCCCATCCCTCCCTACCTCCTCCTGAACTGTGAAAAAAATGGCTGAATGATCTGACTTCCTGGTTCTCAAATTCATAACCTTTACATGGGGAATTATATTGCGCCACTCGTTCGTTACTAGGACCTTATCAAGTCTCTCCTCAATCCAGTTTGCAGTCCCTTTCCCCTTCTCCCAGGTATATGGGTATCCAATCATTGGCAACTGGGCCAATCCACAATCCTCAATCGTCTCCCCAAAACCTCGAAGAAGGCTATTCGGATGTGGATTTCCCCCTCTCTTCTCATACTGGTATAGCAAATCATTAAAATCCCCCACCACCACCCACGGGAGATTCGATTTTGCCGCCAACATTCTCAACAAATCCCATGATTCAGCACGCCTATTACGGTCCGAATAACCATAGTAACACGTCATTCTCCAGGCCGGATTACCTGTCATAGTTACCTCAATATCAACGTAGTTTCTTGAGTAACTAAGGAGTCTCGCCGTATTATTCTTCTTCCACAATAACGCTAATCCACCACTCAAACCATCATTGTCAACATAAAATAAGCCTTCGAAACCGATCGTAACACGAAGACGCTCAGCATGATCTCGCGCTACCTTAGTTTCTATTAGAAATACAAAGTCGGGTTGCTTTTTGGACACCATGTCCACCACCTCTCGAACTGTCCGTGGATTACCCAAGCCACGGCAGTTCCAACTCAGCGTACTCATTAGCGTCGCCAAACAGTGATGATCACCGGAAAAAACGTAGGAAACCGTCGGAAACCTAGCAAACCCTAGGGGAGGAGAAAACTCTAGCAAACCCTAGAGAGAAATAATTTATTTGCTTACACTTTAAAGTTAGACATTATTTACATTATCAAAATTATGAATTAAACTCTATATAATGTTTTAGATTTTGATTGAACTCAATAGATTATTGGTTTGAATATTTTTAATTATGTTGCATCATAATACAAGTTCTGCCACCTATCGGATATTGAAATTTCACATATATTAGAATTCAAAGTAAAAGTTATATATTCATATACATGTCATTCAAATGAATATATCCAAAAAAAAAAAAATTAAATATTAGCTCAAAAAATATTAATATTATCTAAACTAAATTTTAGGTGAAAATTGAAAAATTAAAAAATAGAAAACAGAGAACATTTTTCAATTAGTAAACAAGTTTTCTATACTGAAATAGAGAATGGAAAATAGAGAATGAAAACTGAAAAATTAGAAAACAGAAAAACATAGAACAGTTTTCTGTTGGTAAACAGACCCTAGCTTTTTCTCAAAGGGTTTGTACCGTTTGCTAAGCAACAACAAATCGAGATGTCCATTCCTTTGCTTGAGAGTTTATTTATGTGCCAGATTGCTGAGTGATTTACAAACCCTCATCCTATCATTTGTAATATTTTATCTTTGGATCTGAATTAATGGTAAGTGTTTTTCAAACAAAAAATAAAATAAAATAGTGAAGACACACAAGTACTAGGATTAATGAGTAATCATTTGCATTTACCAAATGCAGGAGTGAGCAGAAGGCCATAAAATGAGCATGTGGACAAATTACTCTTCTGGGAAATGGAATAACTGCAGAGAGAGTAGGAATAGTACTGTGTTGATGGTAGTCAAAGTGAAAATGAAAGAAAAGGGGTGAAAGTCTGAGAATTTTTATCCAAAGGACGAAACGATGGAGACATGTTTGGTAGTGGTGGGACTGCCTCCCCAGTCCCAGATCAGACTTTGAATGCCAAAAAAGGAGTAAAAGACATTTTTAGTCCTAAATTTATAGTGGCTTGAACAATTTTAGTCCTTTATAAAAAAATTTGCCATTTTATGGACAGAGTTATTGTGGCGAGGACATTTTTAGTCCTCCGTCTATATTTTTGTTAGATAACCGTCAGAGAGAGGGGTAATTATGTCAATTTAGGCTATCTCCTTCTATCTATTATATCTATGTGTGTTTTGTTTTCTTCTCGGTCATAATTCGAAGGAGGTGGAGAGTCCAAGTTGCAGTTGTACGAAGAAATTGCCGGAGAATCGAAGCCGCCAAACAGGTTACTAATCAAATAGGTAGAAGGAGAATCGAAGCCGCCAAACACACATTGATATAATAGATAGAAGGAGATACCCTAAATTGACGTAATTGCCCCTCTCTCATACGGTTATCTAACAGAAATATAGACGGAGGACCAAAAATGTCCACGAAATATAGATGGAGGACCAAAAATGTCATCACCACAATAACTATGTCCATAAAATGGCAAATTTTTTTATAAAGGACTAAAATTGTCCAAGCCACTATAAGTCTAGGACCAAAAATGTCTTTTACTCGCCAAAAAAGTTTAGTTTGAATTCTCTCACTCAGCTGCCCTACACCAAAGATGTTCTGAAGGACACCTTTCAATAATCATACCCAAATTATTATGTGCTAATTACAATCAATGGAGAACTTTTTTTTTTTTTTTTTTTTTTTTTTTTTACATCAGAAGCCATCTTACTAGAGCGATTATCTAACTCCATGGTTTGACGTGCTCTGAGAGTCGGCATAAAGCAGACCCATCAGATTATTCGGGGCCCTGGTCAGTGTGACCGTCCCCTATCAATGTCTTGCCCCATGTTGGCGAGCCTGTCCGCACATCTATTCTCTTCTCGTTCGATCTGAGATACTCGAATCGCATGGAACCTTTTGGCCAGGTCAAGGTAGTCTTTGATCAATGTCTCGACCGTCTCGGTTTGGTTGCTTTCCTGATTAATGACGACGATCGTGTCCATTTTCACCCATAATTAGTCATTCTTGTCCCAAAATGTTGAATTTCCAATCCAAGACCCCCTACATCCCGGCCCAACAGAGCATTTGGAGTCATGTAAATGACTCAATAAACAAGGTCAAATTTCAGTGCGCATAAGAGATCATGATTAGTCACTTTGTCCGTATAAAATATTTACCTCTTTATGGACATGCTTAATAACACATCTCTAATTCTTATGATCTCGTGAATAACTCAATTTTAATGTAGTTATTACAATTATAAAATGAATTCTAACATAAGGATTAAATAATGGGTAAATTAAAACTATGTACCAAACTTTTGACTCATTTGTCTTTGAAAAGTTAGGCCCGTGTCTTACTATATCACACACACACCATCATCATTAATTGATCAATCAATGTGCTGGAAACTGTGATTAACACCTAAATTCAAAGCACCCCAAAAAACCCAACTACTTGAAGTTGAAAGTGGACACACTTATTTGTATTAGCAAATCATATATAGATAGCTTCTTATCATTTGTCAACTGTCATTGATGATAGATTCTTCTTTTTGACCATACATACTCTAAAGCAGTAGAAGCTAGTGACCATATTGTTTATGGAAAAAAAAAAAAAAGTGCCCAAAAATCTTTTAATTTGATCTATCATCGATGGCAAAAGAATAACTGAGTGGAAAATACAGTTTTCTTTTAAGAAGATTATGAGTTTAACTTTTATTAATTACTTTTTGATTTAACTCATCTCATAAAAATATTCTAGTGTAATTTACTATGCGTTATATAAAAACAAGATTTCAATTTTCATACTTTTAGTAATAATTATGAGTTTTTTCATCGTGAAAGAAAAAAAAAAGTGATATAGCATAGTGTCCAGCTGGATCAATTGACAGCTAAAATTTTTTATTTTTTATTTTTTCAGTTTTTGAACTAATAATTTATGGTTCCCTACTGGCCACTGCACAATGATTGAGCAAGTAGTGAGAATGACCGTTTTATGTTCTCCTTTTCGGTGTAGAAGTTAGCTAACATCACCCAATGGAAAATTTCACATGAAAAAGACGGATTAGTCTAAGGTAAGTAATTTTTGCTTGCTTAAAAATTTAAAAATAATTTTTCGCTTAAAAATTTAAAAATAATTTTTCAACAAACGAGAGGATGGATTTTTTGGAGGTCTTTTATTATATAAGGTTTTGATTTTTGCCTTTCGCGCGCCGGACCCACCAAGATTCAGTATAGCAAAGCTTTTGTCACGTGATGAGCAAAATTAGTGCCCAACGGGACGCATGCATTACACGTGTTAATCTAAAGATTTTTTTTTTTCAAATTTCTATATTCAGATTTTGTTTTATATTTTATATTTTTTATTTTTTTTCTTTCTTTCTTTTTTTCGCTCCCTCTCATATTCTTTTTCCAAGTTACACATGCAAAAAACGTAACTCCTCAAAGTCTATGCATATTGGAGATGCTCTAATAGGTGAGACAATGTATATCACTATATTGTAATTTTTATTCAGCTTTGATTGCCATTTGTATATATATTATTATTATCTTTGTTATTGTCATATAAAACATAATAGAGATTAGAATAATAACGACAATAAAAATGGATCAACTCATAAACCGTCAAGGATTAACCAACGTAACATATATTAATAATATTTAAGATGCTTGAGAACTGAGAAGTACAGTTGATTAGAAGATCGGCCTCTGGTGTAGCTCTAACGAATTCTTCTTGATGATATTCTTGGTATTCTTTTGTTGGAAAAAATTATTAATTTTAAAGAGTTGATTTGTTAATTGATTCTCTCCCTCTTATCTAAAAAACATGTGATATTTTAATGATTAAAAAAATATAATTTTCAACCAATAAAATAATAGAATTTATTAGGTTATACATACACGATAAGTAATTGGTTGGTTTGCTCGGTAACACTTAAATTTTCTATCACGTTGGGAAAATGTTTTCGACACTAATTAATGATGGCAGAATCTTGGGAACTACTTACTAATTTGCATGATCCAATTCTCAATGGAGTTAATACAAAGGGGAAAAAAGAGTAAATGAAAAACTATATATATATATATATATATATATATATAGGCTCCGGATCCCATGAGGTCACATAGATAAATGAGTTGACGAGATCTAATCATATCCATTAGATCATTGCATATTAAAGGTTGAGATTGAAATAGATTTTGTATGCATTTTATGTAGTAGTCTATGCATAAGGGTGAATACGTAAATGTAATATAATAGATATTTATGGTTACAAATAAATTGGAATATATTCCATGATTAGCAACTGATTTGTGGGAAAGAAATATTTATTAACGGTAGTATATTATTCTTGATACGTGGGTGACCCTCTGACCGCAAGCATTCGCCAAACAGCCTCAAGGTGCAAGGATTGTTTGAC